AATAAAGCCATTTTTTCTCCAAACAAAATATATATGACCATGCATACTCCCCAAAGTTCTGTCCTCTGAGAAGATTTCCTCTCACCAGTGTCTTTCAGGGTTGTCCCCGAAAGGGGCTGTAATGCTGCCACTGCCCACTTCTGGGGTGGTGCCTGCAGAACATGAGGAACCATCAGTAGACCAGGTCCTGGCCTTCTCTTCCTCAGTCAAGAGAGCATAAAGCACACCTCATGAAGCTATAGGAGCATGTTTAGGACCAGACATTGTAAAGGGAGTAGAAACATAGGCATTTCAGCAGCAGATTCATATAACTTGCTTGTGTTTTCAGGACCTGCTCAGACACGAGCATTTATATATCACTTCCATTTGACAATGGATTACTGCCATGCACATCCTACTTCACGGCTTAGTGGATCAGATAATACCAACTCATGATGGGCAGCTCAGGTCTCACGGTAACTTGGTGGCCTATTGTCAAATGTTCAGTTTTCATTAAGGCCCAATAGCAGACCAAGAGCTGTCTCTCAAAGAGAAAATAGTTATCTGCAGATGATGGTAGAGCCTTACTCCAAATTCCAAAGGTCTCTGTGATTCACTTACATGGGCTTGCCAAAGTCTCCAAACAGTGTCCCTGTCTGCCTCTGCCACCTTAATACCATTGAGTCTGCTAGATCATATGTTCCAAGTGGTAGAACAGCCTACATAAAAGCATGGACTTGTTCAAGGGCCTTCTGTCCCAGGCCCTACTCAAAGCTAACAGCCTTCTGAGTCATTTGGTATATGGGCTGGAGAAACACAAGTGAGGAAGTGCTGTCTCCAGAATCCAAATAGGCCCATTAGGTGGGGTCAGGTGCAATAACAGCCTTCACTTTAGACGGAATGTCTCTGCATTCTCCACACCACTGGATCCCTAAGAATTTCACTGAGATAGAAGGCCCTTGAATTTTGGTTAGATTAATTCACCATCTTCTGATGTGCATGTGTCTTATCAACAAATTCAAAATGGTTGCTACCTCTTACTCACTTGCTCCGAATCAGCGTAATGCTGCCAGTATAATGCACCACTGTGATAGTCCATGGAAGAGCCTAATGATCAAAGATCCCTTTTAACTAGGCTTTGACACAGGACTGGAGATTAATATATCCTTGAGGTAAAACTGTAAAGGTATATTGCTAGCCTTGCCAGCTGAAAGCAAATTGTTTCTGGAGTCCTTATGGACAGGTACTGAGAAAACACATCTGCTACATCAATGGTTGCAGGGCAGGTGTCAGGAGATGTGTTCATTTGCTCAAGTAAAGACACCATATTTGGTACAGCAGCTACAATTAAAGTCATTGCTTAAGTTTTCAATTGTCAGTTGTCATTCTCCACCAACCAGATAGGAGACTTAAAGGAAGATGCGGTGGGAACCGCCATCCCTGCATCTTTCAAGTCCTTGATGGTGGCACTAATTTCTGCAGTTGTGATGCTGTTTTTCATTCACTGTTTTCTAGCAGAGGCATTTCAGATGGCTCTCATTTGGCCTTTTCAACCACGAGAGCCCTCACTGCACTGGTCCAGGAATCAATGTATAAATTCACACAACTTTTAAATATATTCTGGACTTGAGGAAATGACTACAGGATGATTTCAGGGACCCACTAGACCTGCTGTGAGTCAGAACAGCCAGAATTCCTTTAATCACCTGACCTCCATAAGCTCCTGCTTTTTTGTTTGTTTTTATTTTTTCGAGACAGGGTTTCTCTGTGTAGCCTTGTCTGTCCTAGACTCACTCTGTAGAGTAGGTTGGCCTCAAACTACAGAGCTCCACCTGCCTCTGTGAGTTTTGGGATTAAAGGTGTGCGCTACCACTGCCTGGCTACATCATCCATCTATCTATCTATCTATCTATCTATCTATCTATCTATCTATCTATCTATCTATCTATCATCTTTTTAAGCTTTCAAGCTTCCTAGAGTCTAAATTCAGTAGGCACATCAATAAACTTCAGCCTGGTCCAGTTCTATGTTCCTTTCACTATCATCCTTTACTCTTTCTTCCCCCCCTTAGTTTCGAGACAGGGTTTCTCTGTTGTAGCCTTGGCTGTCTTGGAACTCAATTTGGAGACCAGGCTGGCTTGAACTCACAGAGATCCATATGTCTCTGCCTACTGAGTGCTGGGACTAAAGGTGTGCACCACCACACCAAGCTTCACTAAGTTCTTTAATGATGTGGTATGCCTCCTTGTGGACTACACTTTCTATCTCCCCTCTAGGAGTTTCTTAGCCTTGTCTAGAGGCAACTAAAGGTGGGCTTTGATCAGTACTCACTTGCCTGGCATCTCCTTAGGAAAATCCACCTCTGGTCTAGTAGACAAGAATCAATTTCCTCAGGTGGAGGCTGACAAGCCAGTACTCCAGATAGTTGGGGTATACCTGCTGATAAGAGTGGAGAGACTGGGGCTGGTGAGGTGGCTCAGAAGTTAAGAGTACTGGCTGCTCTTCCAGAGGACCCCAGTCAATCCCCAGCAACCACGTGACAGTTCACAACTGTAACTCCAGTTCCTGGGGCTTGAACACTGTTGGCATACTTTTTTAAAAAACTTTTTTATTTACATTTCTTATATCTTTTTCTCCCTACTCCACCCCAATCCCTTCCAACACCCCAACACCACGTAGGAGAGAGAAATGGTTAGAGGGAGAGGGGGTGCAGTTCTCTTAGCTGCTTCCTGGCTGGTTAGGGTCGTCAGGTTCCTTGGAGCCAGTCCAGTTCTCGTTTCAGGAGATCTCCCACTTCTTGTCTCACAACAGCAACCAGGAGCATCGAGGGGGAAGCAGGAGCAGCATTGTTCTTTCTCGTTCTCCACACTCTCTGGGCTCTGGCATTTGTTCTCTCTCCAGAGTCCTCAGATTTAAACTATCTGCACCTGGCAAGGAGCTCCTCCCAGAGCTCCATAAGAACACATGCATGCACACATGCTGGCAGAGTGCTGTATAAATAATAAATAAATAAATAAATAAATAAATTTAAAAGAAAAAATACTTTTTTTTTTTCAAGACAGGGTTTCTAGACCAGGCTGCTCTTGAACTCATGGAGGTCCACTTGCCTCTGTCTCCCAAGTTCTGTGATTACAGGCATGTGCTGAGCCTGGCTTAAAAGAAAAAAAATCAATAGAGTCCTCTCATACATACATTCCCATTCCTTGATACAGGGTCCCAGTCTTCATCAATTAATGATCTTTAACTACTGGTGGTTGTGGGTGTTAGGGGAATTGAACCTGGGACCTCTAGAACTTGTAAAGAGGAAGTGTTCTTAACCTCTAAGCCATCTCTCCAGCCTGTGCAAGTCACCTCATCTTTCTTATAATGATGTCCTAGGTTTGGTTTTTCCATAACTTGAGCTCTAGGGCTTTGACTCTGAGACTTTTAGGATGTTTGTGTGTGTGTCAGATTTATCACTGAGTTCATTGTTGTTTTTTGTCACTATATTCTCTGATGCTAGAGTTGGTTAATTTTATCATGGAGATGGTTATTTTTGTCAGTTTATCCAGAGATGCTTGGTGCAACCAACCAGCATAATTATTTCCCCACAAACTGTTAAAATTTTATATAGTCACTAAATTTATTGCTTCTTACAAAAGGTGAATCAGGATAATTAAATGCATTTGTCTCCTTAAGTTTGTAAAATAGTTCACACCAGGGATCTTTATTGTTCTCCAAGCTTCTAGGAGAGGCTTCAGCAACTAGGTGATGGCAAATTGGAAAGCCTATTCCAGATACTTAAACAATTCATCCTTATAGAACCACTCCTGGTACCACAATTAGTCAGGGTTCTCTAGAGAAACAGAAAAAAATAGCATGAATATATATATATATATATATATATATATATATATATATATATATATGAAAATATTTGTTGGCTTACAGGCTGTGGTCTGGCTAGTCCAACAATGGTTGTCTCCTGAACGAAAGTCCAATAATCCAATAGTTGTTCAGTCCACAAGGATGGTTGTCTCAAATGGTCTTCAGAATACACTGGAATCCTGAAGAAATAGGCTCTAATGCCAGTGAAGGAATGAATTTACCAGTGATAACGAGGACAAGCAGGCAAAGAGCAAGGGCTTCCTTCTTCCATATCCTTTATATAGGTTTCCACTAGAGAATGTGGCCCAGGTTTAAGATGAGTCTTCCCACTTCAGATGATCCCTTCAAGAAAAAATCCCGCACAGGTGTACCCAGCACCTTGGGTTTTAGTTGATTCTAAATGTAGTCAAGCTGACATCCAAGAATAGTCATCACAGTCCTTATTTCACATTAGAATGTAGACGGCAGCTAGAATCTGTGTCACACTGAGTGGCTGTAGCCTAGGGCTTTGTGCCCAGGGCTTCTCTGAGAGTGTGACACACTGGCCAGGCCAGAGACCTAGGTATGTGTGGCCCATGTGTGCACATCCATCTGTAAAACTGAATTCTAACTCTAGCTGTGCACCCTGGATTGTGGGTGCAGATCAGAGGAAACTGCTCAAAAAATCAGGCAGATCAGGAGTATGAAAGCAAGCCACTGTGCACGTCAGTTCCTGGTGCCTGCTGAGGGTCCAGAGTTTTTGTTTCTTCTAAATTTTGTTTGAGTGTTTTGCTTGTATGTAAGTATGTGGAGCACAGGCATGACTGTGAAGATCAGAAGGATTGGATTGCCTAGAACTGGAGTCACAGATGGTTGTGAGCCACTATATGGGTGCTGGGAACAGAAGCTGGGTCCTCTGCAACAGCAAGTGATCTTCACCACAGAACCATCGCCCCAGCCCCTTAATTTTATTGAGACAGGGTTTCACTGTGTAGGCCAGGCTGATCTTGACTGGCCAGTGCTCTTGCCTCAGCTTCTTACATGCTGAAGCCATAGGCCATGACACCATGGCCATCCAGCTTCAGAGTGTTTAAGTGTAGCTGCCCGGGACTGAGGTTTTCTCTGTTTCCCTACGTTTTCTCTGCTCCCCCAATTCAACCACAGTACTCACATCATTCCAAGAAATCTTAATTTCTTTATTGTTTGACTTTTGACTCAACATTTTTTTAAACTTTTTGTTTTTTTCTGAAACGTTCTTATGAGCCTTTTGTTTTATTCTCGTTAAATGCACTCGACCCAAAATTGGTTTGGCATATCGAAAAGGAGACCAAGGAGGGGAGGGACTAGGGGGGCGGGAGCAGGGAGGAGGCCCAAATGGACTGAGAAATTGAGAATGAGAGTAGAGAGAGGGACACAGAGACAGCAAAAAGGACACAAAGAAATAAGTTGGATAGCTAGGGAAACCCAAAAGAAAGAAAACTTCAGAGAAAAAGAATGAGCAAGATTTAGGAGCAAATGAATTCAGGAGCCCAAGGAAGGGAGGAGGAGACCAAGACCCTTCTCTGTACCGTCCCCGCTGGGATGGGGGCGTCAAGGCACCAGGTCTGGTTAAGTTAGGGGACACCTGGGCTCTCTGGGTGGCTTGCGCTGGATTGTAGTGGATCCAGCCCCACATAGGGACCTGCCATGTAGCTCTGAGGCCTAGGAGTTAACTCCCTGTGCTAATGATTGGAGCTGGAGCAGGAACCACAGGCCCCACTACACTACATCCTGTAATCCTTCATAGCCCACACTTGAAGAAGGGCTGTGCAGGAAGAGAGGGCACAGGATTCCTGTGCCTGCCAATCCCCAAGGAGCTCTTCACCCTACCTCTTTTTCCTGGTTTGTTGGTGTCTGATGGGTCTCAGGCCTGGGCTGAGTCAAGTCCTCTGGCTCCTAGACCAACCACTCCACATAGCCACAGCGAGCCACAGGTTGAATGAAATTACACAAGGGCTATGAGCCATTTCATGCTCTCTTCACACCTGCTTGGTGGGACTATCCCCACCCTCTCTCTTTTTCCTTATCTAGACTTCACCCTTCATCTTCTGGCAAGAGAGGCTAAAACATACTACCAGAAAAAAACCAGAGATGGAATAAACCCTGCCTTCTCACATTATTCCCCTCCATGGGGCAAACCATTATCTTTGGTCTGGCCCCCTTTCCCCCCCTCAATGATGGGGACAAGCCAGTCCCAGCTCCCGAGAAGGGAGAGGGCTTTCTAGCAGCAAAACGGGTCATCTTCCAGCCACCTGTCCACCTCCTTCCTAGAGTCCTTCCCCAATAACCCAAAGAAGTTGATGGCAGCAGCAAGCTGAGACCCAAGGATGCTTGAACTCATGGCACTTGTGAGGAAGAAGGCAGGGAAGAGTCAGGGTGAAGTCAGCAGAGGTGTGATGTCACCTCTGGAAGATGGCAGCAGGATTATTCTACCCCCAAAAAACTGGGGGAGGGCAGGCCAGGCTAAAGGGCTGGAAGCGCTTGGCCGACACCCTAAGCCTGCCAGAGGGCTTGGGGTGGGGTTGGTAAGGGAAAGTGACCTCACCTTTGCCCACCCCCACGAAATGACCTCACTACTGCCATCCCATCCTCAGCTATAGGAAGCACTGTCCACTCCACTACTCTTTGCCTTGCCCTTCCCAGGATGGGACACCAGCCTCCTCCTGCCTGCCACGAGTCCTGAAGTGATATACAAGAAGCAGGAACTCAAAGGGGTAGTGCAGCCATCTTGGCAAAAGCATCTTTGGGTGTGAGGATGTCTCCTGGCCAGTGGGGCAGGGGGAGACAGGCTCTGGTCCCGGGGCAGGCAGTGAGGTACACGCCCCAGGAGGGCTGACTGATGCAGGGAGAACAGCAGAGGTGAAAGGAGTGGCGCTAGGAAGGACAGGTTCTTTGTTTCGCTGTTGCTTCTAGATTTGTTTTGTCTCTGGAGTGTAAAAAGCTGCTCTGGCCGCTGCCCACCCCGGCTGGGATGTACACACACAGGAAGTCCTGGCTGCCAGGGCTGGCTGCTGCTCTGTTCCGGAGAAAGTCCGGGCTGGCCTGGGCTGCAGGTGCCCGGTGGCTTCAAGTGATGAGATTTTTTTCTTACTTTTTTTTTTTTTTTGTCTTTTTTTTCCTTTTCCATTTTGTTGAAATATTTACAGCAATAGGGGAGGAAGAAAGAGGGGCAAGAGGACCCCCTAGGGAAAGATCCAAACCCAGGACCCACTCCTCAGGGAGCCCCAGACCCCAAAACTGCTCCCCAGATAGCCCAGCCCACAGGACTGGGAACTGCCCAAATATGGCCACCCCAGTGGGTTAGGGGCCCTTCGGGGAGTTGTGCTTCATCAGGAGTCACCCCAAGGGAGGGGGTCATTGGGTGCACTCTGGGGATTGATGGGCAGGCTTGCTTGGGAGACAGGGACCAATAGCAAGGGGGAAAGGAGCTTCAGCGAAAGTTCCACCGTTAACCACCAGCCCCCACTGCCCCATTCCCTGGACCTGGGCTTTCTTGCAGTGCAAGACCCAATCTCCAGGGAGCAAGGACTGTAGCACGGGAGGATCCTGTCCATCTGTCCCACTGCTCCCTTTTGGTGGAGAGGAGCTGATAGGCTGGATCCTGCAAGGCTTTGGCCACCTCAAAAGTGCCAACTCCTGTAGACCCAGGGAAGCCTTATTCCTTGCTTTCTCTCTCCCCAGGCAGCTGCTCCCTCACTCCCAGGCCCTGGGGCATCTCCTCAATGCACTCCCCTAGAGAGGTTTGGGGGGTGTGGCTGGTGGAAACCCTGTCTACTAACCCTGGCACCTGGGCCCAGGTCGGAGTCCCAAGGGGACTGTGGGGCCCACGGGCTGAGGGGCACCCAGAGAGTGGCCACCAGCCACTGCCTCCGTCAGTCTCTGCTCCCATCAAAGCCCCTCCTGGGTTCCCTCCCTGGCCAGGCCTCCGGCCTCTGGTCCATGAGGCCCCTCAGAGACTAGTGACCAACTGCATCTGCCCATCCCCATCGGGCCCTGGCCCCTCGAGGCTGGGGGCTGCCAGGTAGCCCTCATGGCTAGGCCGCCGCACCTGGTAGTAGCCCTGTAGGGGATTCCGAGCCACCAGGGCCGGTGGGCGGGAGGTGTAGTAAATTTCTGGGGGCCCAGGAGGAGCAGGTGGGGGTGGGGGCAGGGCCTCATTAGGCCCTTCGGGGCTGCTGTCCGGGTAGGAGGGCGAGTCCCGCAGGTTGGCCCCGCTGGCATAGAGGGAGTCCCGGCCGGGAGGAGAGGAGAGAGGCCGGCTGGTGGCCCCATCCTCTGCTGTGCAGCTCTCCGACTCATCCAGATCACTCTGGTACAGCACCGACTGGGCCCGGGGCAGCAGCAGTGGCTCCTCCAAGGCCTTGTAGAGAAGTTCAATCTCCGCCCGGTCAGCACCCCCGGGCCCACCGGCCTCGTCCTCACTGACCCCTGGCACGGGTGGCACAGGAGGCTCTGGTGGAGGCCCTTTGGCGCCTCCACTGGCCCCCCGGAGGTTGTTGTGCACCAGCTCTGAGATGATCATCTTCTCAAAGGCGGCAGCATCCGCCAGGTTCCGGCCTCGGGGTGGCTCAGGACCCCCATCCCCTGGAGGGAAATCTCCGCTGCGCAAGGAGTAGCTGTTGTTGAAGTTGCCATTAAGGGGCAGGGTGTCCATGCCACAGGCTTCCCGGCCTCCCAAGGGGTGCTCTGTAGGGGAGAGGGGGCAATCAGGATGGGCCTGGTAGGCAAAGGGAGCTGAGAGATCTGCCCCAGGGCCTCTGTTCTCACTTCCCTCTTCCTCACCTTCAGTGGGGTCTGCTGACTAGCAGCAGACTGATGAGGGTGTGCCTAAGGACCAATTCCCCAAGCTCCCCTCTTTACTTAAGCTTCAGAACTTCAGCAAGTAGAGGCCTATACAGGCAGATACACTAGGCTTAGTCCTAGGCTTGGATCACTCACTTTCATTCCCTGAGGATGCCATCTGGCCCCACAACAGAGCCTGTGGGTAGCAGTACTCCAAGTTTATAGTCCCTATGAGAGGCTACTTGGCACCCCGCAACCCCCAGACCCCCACCCCACAGAAGTGCTTCCAGCAGACAGCGGTACTTACTGGGTTCCCTGTAGCTTCCTGCAAACGCCAGCCCACAAAAGAGAAGACAAGAATGAGCTAAGCAGAGGCCCCTCAGGACTTGCCCTTGGGGCCTCCCAACCTGGGACTCTGCTCTTCCCCAGCATCCAGGCAGCCTAAGTGTCCTCACCTGGGGAGTTGAAGACAGGGGGCGAGGAGGGATTGAAGCCCACAGACTCTGCAATGAGTGTATTGTATGGGCTAGTGCCTCCTCGGGGCTGGAGCACGGGGTTGGTCAGTAGGTGGTTCCCCATGGTACCTGCCCAAGGGAAGGGTAAAAGGTTACAAGGCAGCCCAGAGAACTGGGGCAAGAAGCTTCTGATAAAGGAACCAGGGCCAGGGGAGACCTCACCTCGGTTCAGGGTGGGGGTGCTGTTGATGTCACCCGCCATAAAAGAGGACTCTGTCTGTTTCCTCACGGTATCATTCCACATCCTCCGGATTCGGCTCTGGGGACACAGCCCAAACATGAGGGGATCTCTAGGGCCACCCTGCCCTCCAGAATCTTTCTGAGATTCTGGCAGAGCACTCCTGCCTCTTGGCCCCAGAGAGACCTGGTGGACATGCCCTCCCTGCCCAGGTACCTGGGTCCCTGTATAGTATCGGGTGTTACTTCGCATGGCTGAGGTCTTAAGGGAGCCGTGAGTGCCCCCAGGCGGGGAGCGGATGCAGCAGTAGGAGTGACGCAGGCACTTGCTGTACTCCTTGTGCACCTGTGAAAGAGGCGACAATCAGCTGGCAGTGGACACCTACCTCTTTTGTGATTGGTCACTCAAAATTGGCTGCTTCACAGGTCCAAAGACTGACCTCTTATTTTCGTGGTTGGCAGGCCACCAAAACTTGTCATCTGTCCCCTGTGGCCAGCTATTCAGGCTATTTTTTGGGCACAAACTTTTCCCCACCATCATTCTTTTTCATTCTCCAACTTAACACATCTTTAAGAAACATGTACTATATGCCAGGCACAGGAACACATGATCTCCTTATCTTCCTTCCCCTCCACCCCGGACTAGAACTCTAGGCATGCACCACTATGTGCAATTCATGTGATACTGGGAAAGGAACCCAGACTTCACCTATGCTAAGCAAGCATTCTACCAACTCAGGTACACCCTTAGCCCTCGTGTTTTTATTTACACTTTGACTTTGAAAGAAAATCTTCTCCCTTCTGTATTTTTAAGGAAAAAAATTTATGCAAATGGATGTTTTTGCCTGCATGCGTGTATGTGCACCCAGTGTGCACACTGCCCTAGAAGCTAGATGAAGGTAGGGATCTTTATGCTGTGGCTCCCAGTTCTGTCACCCATGGCTAGGCCTCCCTGTCCAACAGGGCCACAAGAGCACCCACAGCTGAATCTGTTCCATCCTGCCACTCTTCTGAGCTGTGCCCCTGTGTCTTGTTTGATTTCTAGGATCTTCTTTACCTCTGGCTGAATACTCCCACCTGACCCTTACCAGATGCAGATGTTCCACAGAAAGCAGGTGGCATACCACGAATGCCTTAGTCCCTTCCTCCCAGCCTCCCTATCCTAATAATTCAGAAAGTGCCTGAGGAGAGCTTTGCCACCTCACCTTTTTCTGTAAGGCGCAGTGAAAGACAAAGATGAAGACCCCCTGGAAGGCGTTGAAGGTGGTGAAGAGATAGGCCATGACTACTGACTCCTTGTTGATGAAGAGGAGGCCAAAAGCCCAAGTGAGGCCCAGCAGGAAGAGCAGAGCAATGGCACCCAGCGCCCAGGACCTGGTGGCCAGGGGGACAGGCAGTCATAGTGCTCCCCAAGGAAGACAACCCACCCCAAGGCCTCCGGTGCCGTCTGAAAGACCTAGCCTAAGGCTGAACAGGCCCTAAGGAGGCTTGAGGGCTGATCAGTGGAGGGTTGTTCACTGCCAACCTCATTATTTTGGCCAATTTCCAGACCATTCAAACACCTTCTGTGGCCCGTTTTTCAAGGTGTCCTCAAACAGACTCACACTGAATATGCAGCCACGGGCCTGAAAACACAGGCTGGACGGACTGTTGCACTTTCTGGCCCTGCTAAGTCAGGCCATACCACACACAATGCCCTCATGTGGACACCCCCCTAGACGGCACAGTAACAAGCAGTGTCTCAGGGAAGCCTGGGAGGTGCCCAGGGCCAGCGGCTCACTTGATGTTGTCAAGGCGGCTGGAGTCAGGCTTGAGCACTGAAGAGCTTCGGATCATCTTGTGCAGGGTCACCATGAGGAACACCAGGTTCACCTGGACAGGAGGACAAGAAAGGGCGCTTAGTCTGCGCCCTTTCTCAGTGCTTCTCTGCCCACAGGGGACCATGTGGCACCATGGTGCCCACCACCTGCAGGCAGTGGTTTGCATCACTACAGTGAGGCCAAGGGTCAGGGTTTGGCATAAACAGGGGCTTGGGCCACAGCTGCGGTACACTGGCCTCAGTGCTGGGGACCATGGACTTGGTCATCCTGGTCTTTTTAGCTGCTATTCAGGTGTGTGTGTGTGTGTGTGTGTGTGTGTGTGTGTGTGTGTGTGTGTGGTATTAAAGAACCTGGGGCCTTTTGCATCATGGGCAAGTGTTCATTACTGAGCCATGCCCTGGCCCCTCTGCTTGGTTCTGACAGTTTTTACATTAGTGCCTTGCAAAGCTGGCAAGGGGCCCTGGGCTTAGGGTCAAGATCAGCCTGAATGAGAAGAGCTCCAGTACTTGGAGTACCACTCACCACAATGACAAAGGAGACGGGCCCAATGAAGCTCCAGATGAAGTAGTTATCCACCCTCAGCCAGCAGCTAAAGAGAAACACAACCAGAGTGGAGAGATGCCTGACAGGCCAGCCACCCAGCCCTGGCTCGAGGAAAGCCAGCCACTCCAGGGTCAGCCAGACGAAGACCGCAGGGACAACAGTGGTACTCACGCCTTCTCAGTGCCATAGCTCCGGTAGTCAATGGCTGCTGCAATGCCTACCACCAGGGCCGGGAAGCAGTAGCCGCCCAGGTAATAGTACTTGGTCCTCGAGTACTCGCTCTCAAACACCTCCACCAGCAGCAGGTAGAGGTGTACGCCTTCGAGGCACAGCCAGGAGAAGGCGGCCAGGAAGAAGTAGTGCAGCAGGCCAGCAAAGATAGGGCAGGCGACCTGCAAGAGCAGCTCAGTGAGCTGGCTGCTCCACTAGCTGCGGCCCCTCCCGCTGCCCAGCTTTGGCCCCGAGTCCACCGCACCTCATATTGAGTCTTGTCTATCCCAACCAGGAAGAGCAGCTCCGCAAGGAAGAGGTTGATGCACAGGTTCTTGTGGATGGTGTTGCGGTCGGTCTGCAGGCCCCGCAGGAAGCAGAAGGTGGAGATGCAGATGGCCAGACAGACCAGTGAGATGACGATGCCAACCCAGGTGATGACCGACAGCAGCAGCTCATTGATACGGCCCTGGTACTAAGGGACAGGAGAGGGTGTACTCAGGGCTCAGTCAGGTGCCAGCTGAAGGTAAGGACCCAGGCAAGGCCGTGGGCCACAAGGCTGCCCACCCAGCCACCAAGCTGGCCCCCACCCCTGTGCAGGCTCACTTCCTCATGCTCTGGAAGGCTTGTGGAGAGATGACAAATGTGACATCAACTTGCTTCTCCAGAGTGCCTCAGGGCCAGAGGGAGCCAGATGCAAGGCCTCATGCCCCAGGCAAGACTGGTGGACCCCCATGCCTATGAGCTGGCCACCATAGGCATCGCCCATGCTGTGTGCGCTCTAGGATGCCATGCAAAGCCAGGCCAGCAGGCCCGCCCGGAGCAGCAGAGCGCCGGCCAGCTTACAATCTCTCGGTGAGCCATGAGCACTGCGAAGTTGGTGAGGTGGCTGCAGGCACATGTGGTATGGGTCTTATTGGACTCCACCAGGCGGCAGCCTTGGGTTGACCAGTAGCCCAGCATGGAGCGCTCTGAGTAGTTCCAGAAGGAGCAGTTTGCATTGAAATGGTTCTTGGCCTGTTGTGTAGTGGACAGAGTGTCAAGACTACAAGTCCTATTCTTGCCCTCACACCAGCTACAGGGACAGTGATGAGCATGAGGGAAGTGTCTGGGGCCCGAGGTGACCGCCAGCTCTATGGGACGTATGGTCCAAGCTGAAGCACGAGAGCTGAAACTTACTCTTGTGTGGCTGAACACATGGTGGGGTGTATGTAGTCCAGGGACAGAGGATGATGGGACCACCGGGGAGGGAGGGAGGGCTACACCTGGGCTCACCTCCAAGTGGGCCACAGTAAAGATGACAGGGTCCATTAGGAAGACGCGGCTTGATTCCTTATTGATGGATGCTGCAATGACCTGTGAGTTGACCACCAGGGAGGCACCTCCAGGGCCACTGGTCCCTGCCTCGCCTGCCAGCTTCACTGTGGCATTCTCCGTGGACAAGAAGAGGCCCAGGTTGTTGTAGAGAATGAAGACAACCTTGACCACACCTAAGATGGGCAGGGGAGAGAGTGGCCCTCCTTAGCACACCCTTCCATCTGGCACCATGGCTCTAAGATGCGCTGGGACTAGGCTGTGGCCCAGGTCACACAGCTCAAGAGCCATTTCCTCAAGACCACTGTTCATCAGTGGCCACTTTTACTTTCTGTGTGACTGTGTGACCCTAGCCTTTCTGTGCCTTGCTCTCAAATGGCACAGTACCTTCTAGAGCCAGGACCAGCTCTACAAACCCAGGCTTCTGCAAGGCTTTGGGATATCCATGCTATCGGCAGATAAACCACTGTTAAGACACGTGACTGTTGTGTTCCAACAGAACCAAGCTCAAGGTGCAAAGTGGCCAGTGTGTGCGTGCAGACAAACCCTGTGGGACACTGACCATTGCGGCTATTCTGCTTGATGGTGTTGGCGGACAGCTGGATGGAGTTCTCACTGGGATATTCCTGGGGGAACACCAGCTCCTGCACTTGACCCTCTGTGTTCAGGACAGTCACCTCCAGGACTTGAGGGTAGGGGCAGAAAAGACATGCTATGAGTGTCTACACCCAGATGGGGCCCATGCTATCCCATGAAGCCCGAAGCAAAACCACAAGCCCAGGGATTGAGGGCCCACTACCCCCAGAGTCCGTGATTGACCCTGGAGTAGCTGCAGTACTCACCCACGTTCTGCTTGGCAGCCAAGAAGCGAGCAGGTTCCCTGACGTTGTCGGCTAGCAGGAAGGCACCCTCCTCTAGCACATCTAGGAGCATAGTGGCTGTGTGCACCTGCTCTGTGGCATTCATGTCTTTCCAAGACTCAAGTGCCTCTGGCCGGAGCAGGTTGTCCACTGTCTCCACCACAGCCTGTCGCAGGGACAACACAATGAGTCATCCACACCCTCTATTTCCTTGGGACAATCTTGAATGCCCCTCCTCTCCCTTCAACTCCCAAAGCCCCCAGGAAGCCAAGGACACTCGTTCCCAAGAGCTGGCCCCACTGGACTCACCTTGATATAGTCCTTGCAGGTTCTCTCTCGCTTATGCATCTAGAGAAAGAAATGGAGGTGGTGACAGGTGGAGATGCCAGGTACTGCTGCCCTAGCCCTGGTGCTCAGGCACTGGAGCCTTAATAGATCACTCCTCCAGAGACCAGCCTTAGGACGCAAGCCAGGGCAGAGCCCCCGGAGTCCCACAGCCCTCACTGCTCACTGCGGGGTGGCAGCAGGTGCAGGGGTACCAGGCAGATCCTTCCTACAGGCCCACCTTGTTGTAGTTCTTGCCAGCTGACTCGCGCTCGATGGGCCGTAGGGCTTGGAGCTGGGCATCCAGAATGTCTAGAAGTTGCTCCATCAGCTTCACTGACGAGGACACGTCCCCAGCATAGATGGAGCCCCGTGTGTGGCGGGCCAGCTCACTGGCAATGTTGGCTGCGTTCTCTCCACTTTTGATCTGCGTGAGGTGGGGAGGAGGGCGACCTCAGGCCTCTTGGGCACTGGCCCACATGGCTCCACATTCCCTCTTCACATGCCCCACCTGTGTAGGCCATCTTCTCCCAGCTGGCCCTTCCCACAGGAGGTTTAAGTAAAAGGAGAACCCTTGCCCTGGTTTTCAGCCCTATGTGTCTCCCCAACTGCTTCCACTACTCCTCTTGACCCTGGGCTCTGGTCAGCCTGCCTGCAAGGGGCAGCAGTTACTGGTACCTTCTGGGCTACTTGGTTGACCCAGGGGGAAGTGCAGTTGCTGAGGTCAGGGCCCCGAGGGTTCCAGAGCCCCAGAGCTGGGAGACACTGGAACGAGGCAATTCCTGTAGAGACAGACAAGAAAGCCAAAGAGAAGGAGATGAAAAGGGGCCAAGGAAGGCGAGAGGAGGAGACAGCAGAGGATGAGTAAGAGAAGGACACTTGGGAAAAGGCACAGGGCAGCCTACCCTGAGCTTCCCAGATACAGACCCCCTAGGGAAAGATCTGCAGTGGAAGGCTCTCCCACTAAGCATCTTCCAAGCTTGTCTGAAATCCCCCAAACACCTGACTTGTTTACCTGTCCCGCATCTGTTCAGAATCTTTAGTCTGAGGCTGGGAGCGGAGTCACCTGCAGCTCCCCAAGTGCTAGGCTCTAAACCACACCTATACAGCTAAGCTGTACTCTCCCAGCCCTCCAGCTGCAGCTCCAGCACTCACCTCGAGTTCCCTTGGGGCAAGGCCTCTCCACCAGCATACCCTGTTGGGTAGCTGGCCACTGGACCCGCCGGACCTCTCGGGGCTCACAGAAGAGCTCAGGGGACACATGCAGATTGGGGGCTGGAGGCCGCCGGGTACTGGGTGCTGGCGCTGTGGCTGGAGGCAGATCAGGTCCCAACTGGTTGATGGCACCCACTGGGTGTGTGGTTAGGGGCGCCCTTCGAAGTGGAGTGGTGGCTGCAGGCGAGGCTGTGCTGGTGAGGGGTGTGGGCCGCGCTGTGGTGGTGGTACTGAGAGGCGGGGAAGTGGCTGGTCCTAGAAGGTAGAGGGGGACACAGGGCATGTTCATATCCATGCCTAAGGCCCACCAATGTGCCCAAGCACAGGGTCCCCTGGCACCCTGCCATCTTCCTTACCCACCGAAGAGGAAAGCTGTTCTGGGGGCCCTGGCCTCTCTGTGCTCAGAAGTCCCCACATTCACATGTACTCTCGAAGAGGGTGAAATGTACTTGCGCCCTGTGAAGTGTCTTACCCAGAGCTGGGACGGTCTGTCAGAGCTGCTGGATCTAATCACCTCCCACCTGACACAGCTGACTGGTGTACCTGGCTACATCTTCCCTCAGGGGTACCCAACTTCCCGCCTGCAAAGGTTGGAAAAGGCTCTCTGGAGCCCTGTGGCTGCTCTGGGTTGATGGGAAGCTGAAGGCAAAGTGAGCGGAAGGGTCTGCTCTTGAATTTTCATCCCCAGCAATCCCACACGACTGCCCAGGCAGCATAGCTCCTGGCTAGAGCCCAGAATCCTGGGTTCAATCCTCAAGTAAAGTCACTCAGTGCATGAATTTCACCTGTAAAACAGTGTAGTGGACCCAAGCTTTGAAGACAACGGGCACGTTGAAGTACAGACTGTGAGAAGTGTGGACAGTGTTTGCCACAAGCTGTGAGTTTCTTCACCTCCTAATGCCCTAGAGCTTACAGTGAGCCCTGTATCCTGGTACTGGAGTAATGGATGCAACCAGGCCTACTCCCCTCAAAACCCATTCTCACCAGCGCTGGGATCTGGGGGTCCGAACTCCAGGCTGTAGCGCACCACAAAATAGTTGTTCCACACATACAGCTGGTTGTCCCGGGGGTTGTAGTCAACAGAGGACACAAACTGGTAGGGGTTGGGGAAGGCGAGACTGACTGGTTCCTCTCTGTTCGCGTTGGTGTTGAAGGCGTAGTCCACCCGGTTTCCAGCCGCCTCACTGTCATCATCCACATAGACAGAGCGTAACACATAGAGGACACCGCACACCATGAAGGCATTGGAGGCCGAACGCTTGTCGTAGCCTGTTTCCCACGTGCCCTCGAATCGCAACGTGTAGGGGTTGAGCTGGCTCACCACCAAGCGCCCATTGTTTCCTTCGGTGGCATAAATGACCCACAACCCGTTCTCATCCACTGCCAGGTCAATGTCGGTTTTGCCTCCCCAGCGGTAAGGTGAGGTGTCATGGTAGTTGGCTGTGTTGATGACTGTCTCACCGCTCTTGATGCGGGTCCTTAGGTCATACTTGACAATGTTGCGTGTGCGCTCCTTGTTGTAGAAGACTGCGCCATCATAGACCACAAAGCCAGTGCCATCCACACGGTTGGGTAGTCTGTAGGTGGTGGTGTGGCGCGCGGCCACATAGTCCTCCCATGAGGCATATTCAGTCAGTGTGTCTGTGCGGTAGGGGATCCAGGGCATTACGTAGATCCGGTCACCCGCCTGCAGCGGGTCCTTGCACCATGCACCAGACTGGTGCTCTGACTCGTGTGTGGAGGTGGGCTCCAGAACCTTCTGCAGGGTCCCTGGGCACACGAAGACTGGGCAGGGTGGGCAGGTAGGCAGGGAGGAGGCAGAGAGGAGCAGAGGGAAGGAGAAAGGGGAGAGAGAGGCAAGTTGGTCACATGGTGGGGGAGGAAACCATGCTGTCCCCTCCTGCTGCTGCAGTCATGGTTGCTTGGTCGGGCTGGTGATGGGAAGGGGTTTGTGGGCCGGAACTCCCGCCCTGCCCAGCTGCCCCTCTCCCTGGAGCTGTGAACCCTGGAGACCATCAAGAGCAGGGTTAGTGTGGGAGGTGGGTGCCCTCTTCCCTTCCTTGGCTGCTAGAGACCCCACAGGCTGGGGACAAAGGATTTGGCCGGAGCTCTCCCAGACTGGGCACGAGAGGGGTAGGGAGGGGGGCCTCTGCTGCAATGCCACCTAGCCTCAAGGTTCAGGTATCAGCAAACTGGCCTCCCTTCTCTGCCTCTATGGAAAAACTAGGGGCTGGGATTCCATCCTTCACCAACCATGCAGGGATGGTCTTCAAAAACAAACAAACAAACAAACAAACAAAACAAAAAACAAAAAACAAAAAAAAACCCTTCACTTTCTTCCTCCTCCAAAAGCTACAAGGTAGAGTGCTGTTTCCACACCCACTCTGGCAGCGAGGCTTAGGGCTCTCTAGTCTCTCTCCTCAGGTCCCTGATGCTGTCTGGGCTCCACTCAGCTGGAACCCGCCAAGTAGGTAGCTGAGGAAAGGAGGGAGGGAAGCAGCTCCCAGGTTAGGCTAGGGAGGAGTCCAGGTCTGCCCCAGCCGGCAGGGTCTCTGCTGGGTCAGGGTCAGAAGCACACACTGACACTGGTGCACAAGGGTGGAGTTGGGACATGGAGAATGACAGGACTCCCGGGACACTTGGGGTGAGGGAGCTGCGCAGAGGGGAGAGAGACAAGGAGGGGTGTGTGTATCCACAAAGTCCTGGCTCCAAGGGAGGCGCTCTGGAGACCACCTGGGAAGAAAAGGTTAGTGCTGGCGAGGAGAGAGGGGGTGAGCAGAGAATTCACTCCAAGGCCCAGGCCCGACTGAGAGTCCCTTCCAGGGGCAGTCCCAGGTCCAGCTCGGAGGGGGCAAGGGAGGGAACCAAGTGCTAGGATAAAGCCCCAGCCCACCCCAGCCAGCCCCCCACCTCCCCTGCCCCGGACCCCGATTTACCTGTGACCATCCCCGGCTCGGGAGGAGGGACCAAGGCAGCGCTGATGTCAGAAAGGTGGGGGGCCCCGCCCCACCCCCCCATTCCCTGAAAAGAGGAAAACCTCGACTGCATCTCGTTGGCACCACTGGCCTGCCCACCCTTGCCCCTCACAGCCCAGCACCACCTGTTCCTAGCCTACCCTCCTGATCCAGCAGGTCAGTGTGGCCAGCCCCCCCCCCAACCCCCTTCCCTGAGTACTGTGGGCCAGATGCCCTTCCCTTCAGGAGGGCTGGTGCCTCCTTCTCATTTCATGATAGAACCCACAGGCAGGCCAGGGTTGTAGGGTGTGTGCATGTGGGTCTATGGTGAATTCTCTGCTCCTGCTTGGTCCATCACCAAAGCAGCTAGCCCCAGGGGCACAGGGAGGGCTGAAACAACTTGGCACCAGCATAGTGGGCAGCCTCAGTAGTGAGGGACCCTTGGATAGGAGCCAAGTCTAGTGCCTACTTCCAGCCTGACTCATCAGCAGGCTAACTTGGTTGGGGTGCAGTCTGTAGGCCTCCCTTGATAGCACTGGGCAGCGTTGGCTCCAGGTCCCTAGGCACAAGGCAGCCATCAACACAGCCCCTTTAACAGGAGTTAAGCTTGGGCTCTGAGCCTTGGCATTCCCATCGGTTATGTCTGTACCCTCTGACCAGAATACCCGGGCCCCACCCTCTTTTCCTGTTCCCTGGATCTTCCCTTTATCCCATAGGGACCCCTGCCAGGGGTATGTGTTTATGAAGAGGGCCTGAGCTGGTCAGAGGGTACCAGGGGAGGAAAAACACAGTTAGAGGTCATTCCAAGGAAGGGGAAAAATAAGAAAGGGTCTGTCAGGGGCCTTGAGCAGCAAGGACCCCTCCTCAGCACCCAGCTCCTAACACCTTGTCCCTCCCGTAGCCCAACCCGGAGAGGAGTTCCAGTGCCGTAGTTCCAAGCCTGCAAGAAGAGTGGCTAGTGCAGGGCTGACTCAGGAGAGCAAAGGAGGGACGGAGCCCAGACCTCTGAGATAGGCAAGGCAGGAAGGAAAGGGGAGGGGAGCAGCTCAGAGGGACCCCGCCCACCTCCCTGGCAGGGGATCCTCCACAGACCACCTTAATTTCAAGGCAAAACCATTTCATTGTTTGTCCATTTGCCCTACTACTAGCAGGTCAACCTCCACTCCCTAGCCCATAACGGATAGCCTCATCCACCAGTGTGGGGCTCCCTGCAAGAAATTATGGGGCCTGTGGAAGTCCCCAGAGCAAGTCTGTGACCCCATCACCCTCCCTGGTCCTCTCCCACATCAGCCCGGAAGAAACCCTGACTGCAGCTTTGCAAGTGTGCAGAGACAGAACCCACTCCCACCCTCTCCAGGAAGCCCGCCCCTCCACCCCCGTCCCAGGGGTTTGGCAGGCTGCCCCCTCCCAGGGGATTGGGATAGCTGACGACCCTCCTCAATACTGAACCCGACTGGTCAGGAGGGGTGGAGGGTGAGGAGACTGGTTCTCTGTACTCCACAACAGCCCTGGGCCTTGGAAACGCCAAACCAGAAGAACTTAGGCCACCAGGAGCCAGAGAGGAGAAATCTGGTCCCCAAAGGAAAAAGTGTCCCTTCCACCCCACCACCCTCTACCAGAAAACACTTTGCAAAAGGTACTAGGGGAAAGGAGAGAGAAGAGAGAGAGAAGAGAGAGAGAAAGAGAGAGAAAGAGAGAGAAAGAGCAAGGGAGGGAAGAAGAGACAGAGACCGAGGAAGAGAGACCTGTACCGGTGCCTGTGGAGGCTGGGGTGTCCCTTCCCCCCACCCGCCTGGAGGCTTACACATTTCTCCTAAGGGAGGCAAAAGAAATGAGAGATGAGGTCAGGTACCCTGCAGGGACCAGGGACCAGAAGAGGTACAGAGGGAGGTGAGAGGAGAGAGAGAAAGAGAGACAGGAGAAGGGTAGGGTAAGTAGCTTGCCCCGGCTCAGGGAGGAGCTTCGGTGAATATCTGGAGGGTGGAGAAGGCCGTGGCCGTGACCCTGGCCTGGGTGGTGCTGCAGCACCAGGGCCAGCCCAGCTGTGCTGGGAGGACACCCGGGGCAGGGAAGTCACTGGACCAAGTAGGGGTGGGGAGAAGACGGGTGGGAGGGTGGGCCACATGAGTATGGTACAGGTGGAACAAAGTGTGAGTTAGGGGTTAGCATTGGTAACAGTGCGTTTACCTTTCTGCTCCACTTCTACTTTAAGCATCGGAAGAGAGAGAGAAAACAAATTGAAAAAAAATGTGCAAGAAAAAAGAGAAAAAAAAAGATTAAATTGCTTTCGTTTCTTTTCTGGCCACACGCCCCCTCTTCCTGTCTTTCCTCCTGCTTTCCCAACCCCTTCCGTAGCATCATTTCAGCCCCCACCCCCAAGTCCCTTCTTTTGGGGTAGGATGGGGGTGAAAGGGTGTTGAGGAGACAGTGAGAAGGAACAGGGGAGACACACAGGAGGGAAGAGACAAAGAGACTGGGTATGGTACAGACAGGCAGGTAGACAGAGCCCTCAGGCAGGAGGGGCCCTGGGTGTAAAGAGGAGCCCCGCTGATAGGAGCTGAGCTCTGGCTATGGGGAGGCCAGGCAGTGGGGAACCATAGGGCTCCTCTTCACCCTGTATGCTAAAGTCCCTGCTAGAACCAGGGGCCGAGAGAAGGGAGTCTCTGGGGCCTGGGGTACCCCTCTCAGCCAAGAGCACAGGCTGAGGCCCTTCCCCTTTGAGTAGACCCCACCTGAGTCCAGCTGTTTCCCTAAGCCCTCCACACCCCTAAAATGCACAAAGAGAGGGCAGTAGAGCCAGACACAGAACAACAGAGGCAGGCAGGCAAGAGCCTCTGGCCTCGGACAGAGCCAGGGTAGGGGAGACAAGAGGCACAGAACTGGAGGGGACACGGACTGGGCTGGACAGCACATGGCAGACAAGCTCCTATAACTCCCAGGGGGTGGGCTCAAGGTTCAGCTGCTCTGCCCAGTCCACCAAGGGCCCAGGAACCCTAGCTGTACCCTGCCCTGCCCACCGCCCTTGATGACGCACAGGTGGCACCTGGGGAGGAAGGGAGAGTTAGGCTGTGCTCAGCTGCAAAGCAAATCCAGTGTTAGTTCAATGTCTGGGTTTCCCATACTCCGGTGACACCACCCCCAAGCTGTGGGAGCCCTGGCCCCCCACCCCTGCCCCACCATCACCAGCACTGGGGTCACCCCAGCCTCTGAAGCCCAAGGCCTGTGGCTGACCAGGTTGATCCCCTCCAGGCACCCTGCTTGAGTTCTGCAGGGACCCTGTCTGGCTCCCCAGCGCCTCACCCAGGGCCTAGCACTCAGGATATGCTCAGAGAAAGTTATGGAAGTGTGTCCCTGGCTTCTCTGTCTTCCCCCTAGCTTTAGTTATTCTTGAACCCCAACCCCAAATATCTGGGGGCCAGGAGCTAATTTAACTGTGCCTACTAGCTCTGCCTGCCCGGGAGCACCAGCAGTCAGCCCTCCCACAACACCCGCCCTGCCTGAGCACTCTCTTCAAAGGCTCATCTGCATTCCCCTTAGTCTAAAGCTGCCACGATGCCTGGGGCCACCTTCAACCTCCAGCCCATCTTCCTGGGTTGTGCTCCTGGGCCACACAAGGGGGCTTGGCTCCAGGTCTCTGAGCTCCACCACAGGTCCTGTGGCCTCTTCTTTTCTTGTATCTTGGTTTGGACTTTGGACCTGGATCAGGGACTTTTCCAGCCCTGTGTCCTGCCTGCTCTGGAGATTTGGGCTCATTATATGTTGCTGTTCTTATTGTGATTACCAACCACGGCAATAACAGTAACAGGATAGAGGTGAAGCGTAGTCACAGTGACAGCAGCCAGTGCTCCTGAGGATGCTGTCAGGCCTTCCAGGACCCTGTCTACAGCTTGGGAAACTGAGGTTCAGGAGACGTGAAGCCACACAGAGGAGGCCATGCAGCTGCCATTCCCTCAGAACCTATGGCCCGGGGCACAAAGGAGCTTGAGACCCATGCTGTCTAATTCTTCAAAGCACTCAGGGCACACTTTTGACCCCCTCCCCCACCATAGAGGAGTTAAGAGGCTCAGGTGGCGGGAAAGAGCGTCCGTACCATCACTGAGCACATCTTGAACCAGGTTCGGGGCTGGGCGCTGGGGGGGTGAAGTCGCAGCCTCTGCCTTCGGGGCTTTGCTCCTGGGAGCAGACTCTGGCCGCAGGGCCGAGCGCTTGCCACTCCCGATCTCCAGGACTCACGCCTCCGTCTGCAGCACCCGGAGAAATTTTTAAGTCATTTGCTGCAGGTTTCAGAGCCAGACAAGTCAGGAGCCAGGTTGAACCTCTTGCCTTCTGCCCAGCCCTATGTGTTAGACTTGTCACTTCCCACCTCCCTCCCTGTTGCCCCAGCTGTGGGTGGGCAGTGTCCCCAGTGCTGTGGGGAGGCTTCAGGGAGCAGACAGGCATCCCCCTCAGGCGGTAGAAGGCGGCCTCAGGCACTGAAAGGAAAGGGCGAAGACTAAAAGAAGAAAGTTACAGGAGCAGTAAGTGACCCTGTTCACCCATCATCCTGGCTTCACCTGCAAGGAGAAATCAAAGGTTGGAGGGGTGGGGGTTGGGGGGAGCTGGTTGGGAGGGGAGAGGAGGGAGAGTTATGAGGTCTCCTGCTCCCCTGCCCCCTCACTTGGACACCCTGACGATCCTGCCTCCTCCCCTTTTGCCTAAAGGCCCTCCCTACCTCCAGGCTGGCTATGTGAAGCCAGGTGAGAGGACAGAAGGGGCAGTGGGAGGAGGAGGGAGGAGAGTGGGCAGGAAGACTGGTGATGCTACCGGGTGTTGAGGATGAACAACCCTCTCTATCTGCTTCCCTTGGTCAGATGTAGTCGGGCTCCCAAAAACCATCTTCTCAGGGGGCACTGTCAGTCCATCATGGCAGCACTTCCTTTGCAGACAGGAAGTGGTCTCAGGGTAATAGATAAACCAACCAGTAGTTAGCAACCTTGGAAAATGTCTTTGGCTTCCATGATGTGGAATGGCAGGAGGGTGTGTGTGGAGGAAATTGAGAAAGGAGATGATGAATGGGACAGAAGATCTGGTGTGTCCATGGTCAAGGGAACAAAAGGGTATGAGGCAGGGAGAAAGAGCAGTTGCAAGGCTGGAGAGAGATGCTGTAGGAGTGTGGCTTTGAAGGGCTTTAGCAAGCAAAGAGCGTGTGAGGAAGCAGGGAGTGGGAGATGACAGGAACTGAAGATGCCTCTACAGGAGGGGCAGAATCTGTGGGGTGGGCGAGCAGCCACCAAGTGTGGACAAATGTCTGTGAGAAGAATGTGTCAAAGTGGGAGCAAGCCTGCTGTCCCCTGTACCCATCCCCATGGATGTGTGCACATGTGCTGGGTCAAGGTTCCCCTTCCTTGCTCCATGGGGTAAGGGCCCCAGACAGCATGAGAACAAGATAACTCACTGTAAGGGACACAGTCGTACTGCACCTCCAGGTACTTGTAGGTTCCAGGACAGGGGTCAGGAAAGGCATCAGAGCCAGCCACCACCACACACTGGGTCCGGTTATTACACCTACAGACAGAGAAGGGAAAAGGGGCTAAGAAAAATTGACTCAGACACAGAAGGCTCTAGGGTCTGGAGGCAAATATACAGCTCCCAATGGAAAGGTGCTGCGGAATGGGTACAGTGGAGTGCTGCCTTGCTTCCTGCCTGCCCTCTTTCCCACAGGTGTCTGAGAAGACCTGCAGCCAGCACAGCCAGGAAGACTATTGAATCTCTACAGAGAATTCACTGACCCCAGTTCCTGCCAGCCTCTCAGGGACTAGTATGGAAAAGAATGCCTATTTTACAACTAGAAGATGCTATCACAGACACTCAGCCACACTTGGTGGCTGCTCACCCACCCCACAGACCCTGTCCCCACCTGTGGGGGTGTCTTCAGTTCTAGTCATCTGCCTAGTCCCTGCTTCTTCCCCTTACTTGCAGCAACCATCTATGCCCAGTTAAGGTGTCATCCTCATTGTCGGCTAGGCTGGGTATGTTTCTAGGCATGCCTGGAAGGGTCTCACCAGAGAGAATTAACCCAGGCAGACAGATCTACCCCAAATGTGGGCAAATCCATTCCATGGCCTGAGAGCCTAGACTGATGCAATAAAAAGGGGAAGGGGAAAGGCAGAATGCCTCCCTCTCTGCTTCCTGGTAGCCATGATATGAAGAGCCATGGTTGGCCACATAGCCCCTACTGTGATGGCCTGAACTCTGAAATCAAGAGCCAAGATGAACCGTTCCTTAAGTTCTCTCTGTCAGGTACACGGTCATGGCCACAGAGAAGAAGCACAGCCATCACCATTCCTAGTCCTTGGAGTGGCCAGGCACATAACTTGAGCCTGGAGGTGATGGTGCAGTTCCATCACTTGGGAGGCAGAGGCAGGCACACCTCTAGTTGGAAGCCAGCCAGGCCTACAAGAGTGAGTTTCAGAAAAGCCAGGGCTATACAGAGAAACCCTGTCTCAAAAACCACAAAACCAAAAACGCAAGCAAATAAGCAGCTTGAATCTGCTTCTAGTTCTTCTTGGGAGCAGGAAGTGCACAGAGGAAAATAGCAGGAGGCTGGGGAGTAAATAAAGGAGGCATGGCAGGGCACAGCAATCCTGGCCCTCAACAACGTGCTCTACAGAATTTATAGAGTGTATACAAATCCTCAACACAGAGGTTCACAGCCGCACTGCCATCATCCACCAACAGGGGGAGATAACCCAAAAGCCTGCCCAAGGAGGAATGGGTGAATAAAATCCAGCCTGTTTGAGATGTTGGTGGTATCACTGGCACAGTTGCCTTGTATAATGTGGCCTGTCCACATGACGGAATGGTATCTGGCCAGGAAAAGGTCTATAGTGCTGACTAATGTCACACGAAGGATAAGTTTCCACAGTGATGCTGAGGGAAGGCTGCAGGGAACAGGTTGGTGTGGGGCAGGCAAATCTCTGAGCAAAGAACAGAGAACAGGGGCAGCAGGTAAGGAAGCTGGGAAAGGACATGTGGTTTCCTTTTGGGGTGATGGAATTCTCCAGAACTAAGT